CGGTACCGCAACTTTGGTCGTGCGGGCGACAAGGTTGTGGCTCGTGTGCAGGCTCTAGTGAAGATCGAGGTCCTCTGCTCATGGATGCTCCCACCGGTCTGATCCGGTCATGGCAGCTTCGCCGCGATGGCTCGTGCTCTCGGGTCCAGTTGGTTGGGCGTGGAGTGTGGGACCGGGGGAAACCCTTGGCATTTGGCGGCCACGGCGAGGCCGGCTCCAATTCTTGGAGTCGGTCCCCTTCTTGGAGGCCTCGTCGAGGTCCCCTTCTGCCTCCTTCTTCCTCACTCCTGCTTGGGCGAAAGCCCTGGTTCCCCTTGTGGGCGGCGGCGGCATGTCGATGGCGTTACCTCCCTGGAGGCGTCGTCCGGGGTTCGCGGGGGTGTGGATGGTGCTTCTCTGCTTGCTGAGGACTAGGCGGCGGCGATCTGCTCTTTGTTATCCATCCTATCCGCGCGGTCTTCGTCTTGTGTCGGCATTCTTCAGCTTTCGTCTGGGCGTGTGGTTATCATCAGGTGGTGGTGAGGTTGTGGCAACCCAGCGTAGGTGGTGCTTTGCTCCCTCATGCCTGAGCTGCCAGCCGGCTATGTCCATTCGGCTCTATGGCGAGCACTCTGCCTTCCGACGGTGCGGCGCCCTTCAAGCCAGGGCGAGAAGATAGTGGTCTTCTTCGAAGGTAGAAGCGATTGGCATGTCGCTCTTGGCATGTTCTGTGGGAGAGGCGAGGAGATGTTGGTTGTCGATGCTGGTTCGTGCTACCCCTCACCCTGCTGTTGGTGTGGCTACTACTCTTGGCGTGTGACCTTGGTGATCCTGGCTAGGCTCCTTTTACTATCTTGTGTTTGCAAGTATCACTACTTGGTTGTAAGTTGTTACAGCTCTCTGTATCTTTGCCGTTTCTTGTTTCTTTACTTTGTAACTCCTCCGTGTAATCCTGGCCGGTTGATGGCTTTGTTAATTCAAAGCCGGGTTAGGTTCGAGCCTTTTCTCGGGCTCGGCCGACACCTTTTCTCTAAAAAGAGGACCATGATAGACACTTGATGGAGACAAGGTGGCTCTGCATGGTGATGGGCTCATTGTCACTTTGGATGGGCTAGTGGCATTGGGCCATGAGATGTGTGGGGGTATTGGGGTGGAAAACTCCAAGCGAAAGATTCGACGATGGAGCGCCCTAGGGGAGACAGGGTATGATGGAGCATCTCTTCTTCCTTCATCCAATGGTTCATGTTCTTCGGGAAGCCTGAAAACTCGTGTTGGGTTGGGTGAGGATGTTGTTCCTCCCTTCGGGGTGTCTCCTTGAAGGTCACGATCTTGCTTGCGCTTTCCCGGTGTTGCACATGCACGACGTTGCGGATCACAAATTCCTGGCCGGTGGTGGTGTGAGAGCTTCTACGACACGGGTCGAGGGTGAGCGATGTTGGAGTCGCGACAAAGGTTGCGGTAATCGACTCTTCGGCGTGTCTATTGGATTGTCTCGGGTCGCTTGTTGCAGTGAAGTCAGAGCTATGGCGGCAGAGTCTGGGTGCTGGCAATGACGGACCACAAGTGGTTTGTTTGGTGACAACCTTGCATAATTCTCCTTCATAGCTTGCCATCAGAATCAAAGTTGCACTGCCGCTGACACGGGTGGCTTTGCTTGGCATGGATATTGTGGCATCTCATGGCTTTTGTGGTGTGGGCTTGGTCGGCGGTTGTTTACGGTGAAGTAGGATTCACTTGCTTCGGAGTAGTCATAATGAATGCAACAATGTGCAACCTTGACGAGGTGCTCTTTGAAGTGGTGTGCGTGTGTTGTCTCTTGTGTGTGCTTGGTCAGCAGGTTGTGGCAGTTTCCACCTCGTTTTCTATTAACTAGATGACCTGGTTGCGCCAATGGCGCAAGAAGCCAGTTAGAAGCGATGCTAGTAGTGAATAAGTAGGAGACATAAATGAAAAGATGATGCAATGTGGATTGTATTACAGATAGTAGAATGGCTTAAACGGTTTAGTGCAAGAAGCTTATTAAAACCAAGAATTATGGTATCGATAACCATTTTATATGCACAAAGATCATTTCATTATTGGCCAAATGGAAAACAAATATGTTCATGCCATATTGTTTGAAGCTACTCAATGAATAACATCCAGTATGACATGAACCTTTTGAATAAATTGGAATCATAGATATCTAAATAAGCAACATCCACCTTCAGGACCTGATGCACATAAGAAATGGCCTCTCAGGAACCATATCCATTCAAGTAGGCTGTAAAGGGAAAGAAAGATAAAGTTAAATGATTAACAATGTTGATAGCACATACCAAATGACAGGACCAGGAGATATGCAGTCAATAAGCATGGGAAGGAAATGCCTTTCCTTATATCCTTAGAAGTGATCCTTAGGAAACGATAAGAGAACAAGAGTCGGCATGCACCATACTATTATCGATACATTGACTAAGCAATCAGAATAATATACTTCTCAACATTTAATCTGTATGTTAAAACAAAGGCAAGTGTGCTCTTATTTGGATCATAGAAAACCCAGCATGACTACTTGACTGCTATTATTCCCAGAGGCAAGTTTGGGAATATGATATCTTTGTATGATACTCAATTCAGTTGAGAATATAGCAAGAAACATCATCCCACTGTGTAATCTCTCTCCTTTATTTGCGTGATACTTCCCTAAAGCCAACGCCATGTGGAATCTTTCTCTACAGTTCACTTGTATATACAGGGACCAATTTGATCTTTTTCGCATGAATGCACCAATTTTAAGCTACAACCACAGACCACAGAAAAGAGACCAAGAGGATGTTTTACCCTACCTACATGATACATCTATAAATAGCAAAACCACCCTGGAAATAAACTACAAGTAGAATGGCACCTGCATGAAACCAATCTGTTCTAGCTTCTGAGGTATGTTATTAACAAAATACTAAGACATTCATAAACCTTCTTGGCCACATGCAGTCACATAGTGTGCCATGTGAGTCAACAGATTACTAAACGTAAATGACAACATTATAATAGCAAAGCACTTGAGTCAACAGAGTACTACACGCAAATGACAGTAAAACATGACAACCCAATGCCATCCTGCTATTCAAGCATTTCTTTAATCAGGGTTAGATGCAAGAATGAAATTTTGTAGACAAGCAAGAGCATGTACAACTGTAATCTAGTAGTATGAAATTAGCAAGAACGCGTATAGTTTTCCAGAAATACTAAATACTCCCTCCGTCCCAAAATTCTTGTCTTAGATTTTTCTAAATACGAATGTATCAAGTCACATTTTAGTATTAGATACATCCGTATCTAGACAAAGCTACGACAAGAATTTTGGGATGGAGGGAGTACTAAATAGAAAAAATCACATGCTTTTCCTGTTTGAATTAATTTAAAATCTTATTACTAATACATATAACCATATTGACAGGTTTCCTAACTATAATCATTCAGTTTGATGGATTAATCCCTACCCACCTAGTACTGAAATGAGAATCAGCTCTGCTTTCATTCATGATGCAAACTCTTGCACGTAAGAACTAAATTTGAATCTAGAGGGAGAGGGCGGCTAGAGACTGTGAGGGAGGAAGGAGAGGAAGATTACTCATGCCATGCAAAACTCCTGTAGCGCACGTGGTTTTGATGGCACACTACAGGTAGGTGCTCAGAGTACTCCAAACTCCTACAAAACTGTACACAAACAGAGTACTTCAGTAGACGAGCCGTTCAATTGGAGGAGTTCGAAATTGTAAACAAACTCGTGAAAGTTCATGTAATGTTTGCTGCAACAGAAAAGAAGGTGATCTTGATATTAGAGAACCAGTAACGTTTGCAATAGCAAAAGGTTGGCATCACCACGAGTAAGCATATGAAACACATGAAGGTTTTCTCTCCTTTTTTGTAAAGTGAACATGCATTGGCTTTTATCCATTGAGACGTTGACCAAAGAGGCCCTACATATATATCGTGTACCTTGCTCCTCAAAAACAACAACTCTGTCCTAAGGGGAAAACATTTAGGGATTTTTTTATCACAAGCTATTTTACTAATTCAATTTTCAACAATAACACTAGGTACGTACAAATGGCTAGAAATTCCTAGAGCGACCAAAATGAATAGAAACAGGAGTGGAACTTTGGTAATGCTGGAAAGCTTCCATTATTTTTAGGTTGCCATTGTAACGTTAAAATATTCTAACTCCATTAAAAGGACATATTTTGAAATGATTTGGCAACACAACCAAAAATAGGGGCAAACCTATCACAGTTTTAGGGCATGATAGTATGTAGACAGAATGACCTATTAGTTTGTAGATAACAAAGCACAAAGTTAGATGAAAGAAATATATGATTGACCTGTTACTGAAGAGAAATAATCACATCTGGACAAGCACCTCAAAATGTCCTTTTGACCAATTACGCAAAGAACCACTGGCTACTGGACCTGAATAACAAATGTAGCATAAAATAGTGGCATTACACATGGATTTGTAATCAGATTGTTATTGTAGCTGGAACTATTTTATAACTGAACATCTTGAGAAATGTCTTGAATTCCTATCTCTTTGCCAAATATTCAAATCTACAAGCATGTGTGCCTTATCTTTAAGCTAGTTCTTTCTTTAAGATCAAAACGTTATGCATTGTTGAGATTGAAATTAGTGTTATACTTTGTGGCTCTTCATGTTCATCTCCATTGTTATTAAGTTAGAAACTTGGTACCTCACAGACATTGCTCACATGTTATGTATTGAATTAATTCAAACCAGAAGTCCTAAATTTTGTACCCTTCTACCATCTGGTGCTTGGTGTGCTGACATTTGATCTCAAATATGCAGGACCTGCCATTCAAACCAAAGTACCTTGTGACCTTCACTGTTGGATATGCACACAAAGAAAATATAAACAGAGCAGTGAAGAAGGCAATGTTGTTGTCAACTTTATTGAGCAGAATAACCAAAAAATTAGCTCTGCGCAGTTTTAGTAGAAACTGAATTTTCTTATCAATGCATGTCATTTCACTCGATTACCATCCTGATAGTTTTTTCTTCTTCTTTGTTGCAGTTTTCTGACAATTTTGCTATCCTGTTATTCCACTATGATGGCCATGTGACCGAATGGGACGAATTTGAGTGCTCAAAGCGAGCCATCCATATCAGTGTCAGCAAACAAACTAAATGGTGTGCTACTATGCTGCAATGTGCTGGCTATTCCTCTGATTGTAATTTGGAATCAATCTTCTTCTAACGCTTCTTTATGCACGTACCTCTAGGTGGTATGCCAAAAGATTCTTGCATCCTGATATTGTGGCAGCTTATGAGTACATATTCATCTGGGATGAAGACCTTGGGGTGGATCATTTCAACGCACAGGAGTATGCTTCCACTGTTCAGTTATCCAGACAATTTTTTCTTGATATGAGAACTGACGTATACATATTGGCGTTGGATTACAGGCACATCAAACTTTGTTAACAAAGATGGTCTAATTATCTCCTAGCCTGGCTTAGAACCTGACCGAGGACTTACTTGGCAGATGACCAAAAGAAGAGGTGACCGAGAGGTCCACAAGTGAGTGGTGCAGTTACAATATGAAAGAAAGCAAATAAATAGATTTCTTTGTTCTGATGTAGTAACTTGAGCTGGCAACTTGTGTTGTTGCAGGGAGACAGAGGAAAGACCAGGCTGGTGTGCTGACCCTCATCTTCCACCTTGTGTTGCGTGTGTTCTTACTATCCTCTTTGCTGAGTTCTATCCACATCTATACTATTACAGAGATATCTAACTTACGCTTCTCTGTTGCTAATTACTTAGATTTATGTTTTGCTGTAAAACAGGTCTGTTGAAATAATGGCTCCAGTCTTCTCAAGGGTGGCATGGCGATGCGTATGGCATATGATTCAGGTCAGTATATGTTACCGGCCAGTGCCTGCCGTTATATATGGACTTGCTCTGCCTTTACTCATTGGTGCCTCTCCTGAATGCAGAATGATTTAGTTCATGGATGGGGTCTCAACTTTGGCCTCAGGAACTGCGTAGAGGTATATTTATCTCTCTATAACCAACCCAACCGCAGGGGTCATCTAGAAGAACAAGAAGAAGTACAGAGGGAGGGGAGGCGGATGGAGGGCGTGCGTGCGTACCTTTGAAGTCTAGGTGCTGCATCCCGTCGCGGGCGTCGAGGGCCACCGTATCAGAAAGCTTCGCTCCCCACCCCCACCGAGAGAAGGCCGCCGCCGTCGTCATCCATGGGTGGGTGTGGGGCTAGGGTTCCGCCCCCATCCATCGATCGTTCCATCCATCCATGGCCTTCCTCGAGGACCAGGTGGACGACGGCGCGCCGGTGCCTGTGCCGCTGCGGATCTGGGTGTCGCTCCGCTCGATCTGGAGCCTCCCCTCCCCATCCCTTCCCTTCCTTTCGAGAGGAAGGATGGTGAGGGTCGCCGGAGAGGGTCGAGCAGTGGCACTGGAGGGAGAGGAGGCCGCCGGAGTTGGTGTTGGGTGGTTGGGGGTCGCCCTAGAGACATCAAGGAAAGGAGAGGAGGAGGAAGCGGCAGGAGATGAGGCGGGGTCGCGGGGGAGGAGGAGGAGGCAGCGGCAGGAGATGAGGCGGGGTCGTGGGGGAGGAGGAGGCGGCGGCACGAAGAAGAGGAGCCGGATGAGAAGGGAGGAGGGAGAGAGAGGAGATATTTTCTCCAATCCAGCTCGCGCTCGCTGCGGCCTTTTTATTTTCTCTCGCAGTGCTTCTCGCTCGCGCGCACTATTCATACCGAATAAAAGGAGACGTGGCCAGTGCCGCTAGTTGGGCGCACATATTTCAATGTTCAATGTTCAATTGACCGGGAAACTACCTTCTTCTTAATTAATGGATTGCGTCCTAGACATCTGGTTTAAATAAATGGTGGACACTTGATGGTTGTTGTGGATTCAGGACCATGTACAAGTCTGTGTAGAACATATCTGGCTATTAGGAGAACTGACATTGAAGGCCACATGTAATGCACGCCATAAAAGCTTGGCTAGTGGGCATTTGAGAAAAAGAAGTTTGATAGTTTCACCTAGATTGCAAAAACAACATCGTTTACTACTCTCCCAACTACGTTTTGCCAAGTTGTTCTTAGCAAAAATCACTTCCTTGTGCACAAAATACATAAATATATTTATTCTTAAAAGCACCTTAATCTTCCAAATATGTAGCGACGTTGGGATTGGACTAGAGTCAATCAAATCTAGATACATAGATTCCACCGAAAAAACTTGTGACACCAAAAGTTTCTAGTGAAGTGTATCCGGATCATTAGATAGGTTAACCTTCATCAACCTGCACACAAGATGTAGCCATCTATCCCATCTGTCCCCCACTAGTGACCTTTGGAACTAAATGTTCAAGGGCACCAATCCTAGTATTTTACTTACAAAAGTTTCCTTACGTTGTACAATGTTGTAGAGGGTTGGATATTGTATGACTAGTGGCGTCTCATCTAGACACGTATTTTTCCAAAATCTAGTCGTGTTGTCATTCCTTACGATAATTTTGTCCTAGTGAAAAAGGCTACTTTCATATCACATTAGCCTCTTCTAGAATGGTGAATGCATGTGTTGCCTCTAAAACTGCGTATGGCCTTGTTATTTTCTTTATTATTTTCCTTTTTTGAGAAGGAAATGCATGGATGTGTATACGATTTAGCATGGCTAGAAAAAGGAGAGGGCCAATTCCATCGTATATATTTCAAGTGAGATATGCACGTATGAACTAATATCTAGTACCAAGCATTCCATGTCTATCTAAAGGACATTTCAATAGTGAAAAGAGAGGCATGTTGTGCCTTGTGAGTTATGGTTGTTGTGGACTTAACTGTATCCGCACGTAGCTCCTAAATTACTGAAAAGGACTTATATATAAATATATCTTGAGAGAGCCATCATGCACTTTTATGGGTGTGTTTTGATGTTGTCCCTGCTGGCCTTATCGAGTGTGGGCACACCATGTTGACGTATATAATGTGCTGCCTAGTTTCTTCCATCAGATCGGTTTTTTGGTTGCATTGGCTAGAGCAAGAACTTCTACATGGTATCGGAGCCAAGAGGTCTTGAGTTCAAGACTCGGCTGACGCAATTAAATTGCAACCCACTTTCAGTCCACGTTTAGGCCTGAGGTCCCCACACGTGAGGGGGGTGTTGACGTATTGTGTTGCCTAGTCTCTTCCATCAGATCGGTCTTTTGGTTGCATTGGCTAGAGCAAACACTTCTACATGCCAAAGTATTGGTGAACCATTCAGCTGCCCACAAGGCCACAACTCGTCAACTCTTTGGCATAAAAATCAACTGGCGAAGTTGATGTAGTCTGGGCAAGCTAAATTATTGATCCCCATCTAAACGGTTGTCCACACTCAGACCAACTTTTTGGTTCGGTAGGTGTAGGCTCCAATCCAAGCACACCCTATATGTGTTGATATTAGGGTGCTAGGATTGGGATGCATGAGGAAATTTGTCTGATCTTATTTTTCATCACTCCTAACCGCGATTCATCAAGGAAGTAGCTATTATCTCGCTGCATGGAACAACTGTGGTACACACTATAGTTGAACGTTGAAGTAAAGTATTTCTGGTTTATACTTCCTCCGTTCCTAAATGTAAGTCTTTGTAGAAATTTCACTATAGACCGCATACGGATGTATATAGATGCATTTTAAGTTTAGATTCATTCATTTTGCTTCATATGTAGTCCACCTATTGAAATCTTTACAAAGACTTATATTTAGGAACGGAGGAAGTAGGTTGCAACAGTAGGATGCATGCAATGACTGTGGCACACACTGTATGACATGGGAAGTAAGAAGCTATAACTTCGCTACATTTTAGCCCCAAATCAGTTGCCTTTGCTAGGAGCGTAAGATTTGAGAGTCGTTGTCGTCCGCCCAAGTTAGCAAACTATGGGACAATGTGAGATACTTTCAGATAGCGACACTACATTAGTAATGTCCATAACAAATTTATGTGCTTCAACTGGCACAGCGTGGAAATGACTCCATCAAATTACTTGCTCTGGCCATTAAATTCTTCATTTGGTTGTTATATAGATTCTTCTTCTTCTGGTCACAATACGGTGCCGTTTTCGGGTAGGCTTGGATCACGTCTTGAAGCTTCTTCAGCTATGGCGTGGGGCATGCAGGGTCAACATTAATCTCATTGTTTGTCTGGATTTTTTATCTGCTCTGTGAGGTGTATTTCTCAACACTTTGTATCGTTCGGTTGTGTGGCTTATCTATAAAGCGGATGACAACCTATTTCAAGAGGTGACATGTCCTCCAAGCCAATTATTTTTTTGAAGAATTACAGTATCCTTCCGATTATCATGTAAAACCCTAATGACAGTACATCTTGAAGAAGCATCATACGGGTGAGGATCATAAATGAGCTTGACATCATGTTTACAGTTAACCTTGTGCACAGTTTCATTTAGTTTGCTAGTTTTCAGGCGTTTTATGTTTCATATGCCGCGAGCCCAGAATCTATGTTCGTCGTGTGACTAGGGGTGAACATGAACAATATGCACCATCCGCATGACTCCACTTCTGCGGGATGATGCGGAGGGACCGGATAAGGCACCAAGATTCTTTTTTTATTTTCAGTTATTCAAAAAATAAAACAGAGATAAAGAAGAAAAGTTGCACACACTTATGCAGCACCAAACCGCTGTCCAACTATCAGTATTGTTCATCTTCTCTCTCGCTCGCTCATTGTATCCTTGGGTTAACATGAATTATGATGGGCGGTAAATCATGGGCCGCACGACTTGTGTGCCGCTGAGGACTTTGCAAGAGTAAATTGTTGCCCCAAATCAATTGCCTTTCTAACATTGTGATTTGGGAGTCCGTGTCGCCCCCAAATTTTCTTCAGTGTGTTTATTGTGAAAAAGTGACATCGAACGAGGAAGTAAGCAAGTTTCTGATGGCCGGACTACACCAGTGATGCCATCGAACGAACCTGGGTGCTTTTAGTTTACACATCACTCCAGTCCGTTAACACTATGCACATATGCTAGATGCTAGCACCTCCAGAGTGGGAAGGCCAATTCCATTCTATATCACACAAGCCAGGTTCTAGGACATGGGTACATAAGAACTAATATGAAATACCAACCATTTTCATATGTCCCTTTCTGGAAGAAAAAAAATCATTTCATGTGTGGGACGAGATTACGTTGTTTCACACTTTATTGTATGCGTACATAGTTTCTAAATGAT